TTTCTTCTCACCCTTGTGGAATTAGGGAGGGCCTCCCCGAACGACTTCCCTTGGGCTTAGCTATTTAGTTGATCTTAAAAGTGTCTTATACACTTTTCGCGAGTCTACTCTAGCGTTACTTCCTTTCAGACAGGGTACAGTGGGTTATCTGGAATAGGAGCAATAGGCGACTGCCCAGCTTGCCTTGGCGAAATCTGTCCGATCTTCTCTACCAAACCTATTAGTATTTGCCGTTAGTCCTTGTAATTGCACTATTTGCTTTCAGATTATGAGGTATTTCCTAAGAAGAACGAAGACATCATTTTCTTTTTTGAATTTTATTTGTTTTTCATATGTTTTCTTGTCTTTTTCTTACAGGTATTTTGCTTTTTACTTTGTAAACTGTTGAATTAACTCAATTGTAATTAAGTGTAATAGGTAAAACCTTTCTAAATTGCTTTTTGATGTAATTTTTAAAAACAAGTTAAATATTTATTAACACTTTCATAACTAGTATTCATTTGGGCGGATAGGGTGGCTATAAAGGAAGATGTGGAGGCCACAGAAGATTAAGGGGGCATTTTTGTCCCAAAAATACTGTCTAAATATTAATTCAACAATTTCCAATTGTTAATAATCATAAATCGTTTAAAATGTTCAGAAATTGTTAATGTAATTTATTCTTTTATTGAAAATGTAGTTTGTGTTTATTTGTCAATAAAATTAGTACTTAGTTACCTATTGATGTATTAAAAAAGTTTGTACTTAACTGCCTATTGATGTGCATTGCTTTTATTGTAAATACTATTAATTGGCGACAAAGAGTTTATCCTTAAATAAATTCTATTTCATGTAAAGTGCAAGTGATATGTAATTGAAATACGAAATAAATTTTATTAATATAAACAGCGTTTAATTTATTAAATATAACGATGATCATTTTTTAAAAAATGTAATTCATAATTAACATATTGAAAATTGAAACAATCTAGAAGTTAGAAGTTCCCGCATGCGGCCCATATATGAATTAATTAATATTCTAAAAATTGCTACAATTTAGTACTGCCGGCGCCATCATATGCTTAGTAGCTGAACTACATTGAGAAATAGAAAGAAAAACTGTATAAAGTTGTCCCGCGCTAAAACTCCGAAAAAGATCTAATGCGACTTATGCTCTCCTAATACAAATGTTGAAATTTACGAAAATTTTCAATTTCGCGACTCATACGAGGTCCGATCAAAATATAATTGAACATCCAAATTTTTCGATTTCCCGCGCTCCGAAAAAGACCTTATGCGACTTATGCTCTCCTAATACAAATGTTGAAATTTACGAAAATTTTCAATTTCGCGACCCATACGAGGTCCGATTAAAATATAATTGAACATCCAAAATTTTCGATTTCCCGCGCTCCGAAAAAGACCTTATGCGACTTATGCTCTCCTAATACAAATGTTGAAATTTACGAAAATTTTCAGTTTCGCGACCCATACGAGGTCCGATTAAAAAATAATTGAACATCCAAAATTTTCGATTTCCCGCGCTCCGAAAAAGACCTTATGCGACTTATGCTCTCCTAATACAAATGTTGAAATTTACGAAAATTTTC